TCCCATACACTCTAGTAGACCACAGTTTCAGCCAAATGATAATTATTTCCTAATTAACTCATTAAAGTTGTTATAATTAATGTGTAACATAATTTAAAAAATAATTAAAAAGTTTTATTAAATTACATTAACACCCTGACCATAACAGTCTATTTGACCCATGGTTTGTGAGCAACTGACTTTAAATGAACAATAATTAAGTTAATAATTCCTAATTAATAAATCAGTGTTAATTGTTGAGCATGTTTAAAGACAAACTCTTCAGGTCCTTCAGATCAGCACCAGCATCAAGTGTTCATTGTTCCTGAACCTTCTCTCTCCTTCTGCCCTAGGAACTGGCATGATGGTCCAGAGCCAGGCCTCCTCTCCACTCTCTGCTCCCTCCCTGCACCTCCTCACTGCCCTCCTGCTCCTCCCTCTGCCGTCCCTGTCAGGCCTGTGATCTCAGCCTCTCTTTGGACTTTTTTTTCTACTGTTTCAGGCTTCAAACTAAAGCCGTCCTCTGTCTCAGCCTGTGGCTGCTGCAGGTGGTTCTGGGAGGGGGGTGAGGTGGGGGGAGGCTGGGGGGAGGAAGGGGGGGTGTTTTTAATTATGATGGTAATGAAAAGAAGGAAAAAAACTTTTTTAAAGAAAACTGTCTGTATGGGTGGGGGAGGGGATTTGTGTTAATGATGAAAATCCATGCCTTACGGGGACCAACGTCTGAGTGTGTGACGCACCACGTGGTTGAGCTGTAGCTGGCGCTCATCAATGTACAGAGGTCTGAATGTTCACACTGAGCAATACATACACCTAAACACACATACACTTGAACACAGACACACACACCTGACCAATACACACACTAGTTTGATAACTACGTCCAGTGTTCGTAGACTCTAGTCTGCCTTTGTCACCTCTTCTTCATCTCTTCGTCGCCTGTTTGTCGTCCTTCCCTTGGAAAAAGCAGATTTTCCACGTCGTTGACGTCGTATCATCTCCCTGAGCCGTACTCTCTCATCAGACTGTAGAAAATGTTTCCGTCAGACTCTGACTCCTGCTCAGACCTATCGTTGCTCCAGTTCTGCTGTTCATTTTTATCTCGGTGAAATTCTTCTGCTTTTGCCTCTTTGTGGTGTTGTTTCTTGGTTATTTCTGCGACCACAGAACCAGGACACGGGTCCAAATGAATGTTTCATAAATATTTTCACCACTGTTTGACATTAAATCATGTGAAATAATGTAAATGGGATTTACCTTTTTCCATTGTAGTGTTTTGTGCCTGGGTTTAGGAGCGCTAATCGCTCATTGCTGACGAAGTTTGTTTTTGCCCTGATAAGAAGTCTGCAGGTGAGCAGGAGATGAAAGACCAGAGTTATCTTGGACTGATTGTTGTTGTAAATGACTCCTGCTGTAAAGCTGTCCGTTTCTCTCAGCTCTTATGTAAAAGCAGTGTTTTACACCAGTCGACCTCCAGCAGGAACTTCTCTGTTCCATGACTTCACCACTGATTATGACTTGTATTATATTATGGTCTTCTAGCTCTACCTGCATAATTAGAGTCAAATGTTTAGTATATTGGTTCAATCAAGGGCCACACACTAAAAGGATGGTTGGTGCTCTTGCCGTGCAGCCTGAAGGTCACAGGTCTGAGCCCTGGCTTGTCTGTGGACATATGTGTGTGTTTGTTTTCTCCAGTTTCCTCCACAGTTCAAAAACAATGCAGATTGGAGATTAGGTTCATGTTCACTCTTAACTCTAAACTATAGGTGTGAATGAGATTGTGAATGAGATTGTGAATCCAGAGTAGACAGGAAAACTGTCCAGGGTCTGACCCCGCCCTGACCTAATGACTGCTGGGTTTGACTCCAGCTCCTAAAGGACCATAATCTTGATTACCGTATTTTTCAGACTATAAGTCGCTCCAGAGTATAAGTTGCACCAGTGCCCTCTAGTGGCTGTCGGTGTGAGAATAATGAACATGTGAATTTATATTTTTTAATACATAAGACCTGAGGATAAACCACAAACCCAGCCAAAAGATGAAAAAAAAAGTGCGTCTTATAGTCTGGAAAATACAGTATATGGTAGGAGATGAATATATAGATGGATGATCGTGTGGGTTTACATCAGACATGTGAACCGGTTAAGTCTGTTCATTTTTGTGATGATTTCTCTCTCTTGTTGATCCACTGCCAAATATCACTGCTTTTAACGAAAGCTTGATACGAAGGAGAAGAATCTCATTGACCTAAATGGTTTAAAGACACAGTTTGTGGCTTTTCTGGAATAAAATGATAACAATACAATAATTTGTTACAATGTCAAACAAATGGGGAAAAAAGTTTGCGAACAGTTGTTCAGTCGTCCCATTGGCTGAACACACTGTGATAAAAGTGTTATTATAGGAAACAACCCTCTAAAGAAGCCTGAAAAACCAAACAGTACCAGTAGGTTTTATTTCATCTGATGTGTTAAAACTGGGGTTTGCAGCCCAGTTTGCAGGTATTTTTTATTGTTTAAGAAACGCCCCCTGGCTGTCAGTCATGTAATTACAGCCTAAACGTCTTTCAGTTGTTTGAGCTGAAGATCATTTTTCTTGGTTGTTTTTCAGGTTCATTTGGACCGTTAGGTTTCCTATGCTATGGTTCTGGTCTCTGTGAGTCTGACTGGACCTGAATTAAATCCCTGTCAGTGTTTTCACCCTTTTTGGATGCCTTTGTTATTTGACCTGTCACAGAGAGAGATCCTTTAACTACTGCTGATTTGGGGCCTTTTTGAACGTGTGTATTAGAAACTGCCTGTAAATATAATTTAAAATAAACTCATGGGAGCTGTAGAGAGTAGAGTCCATTTTCTACTTTTATTAATAATAATTTAAACATAATTTATGTGGTAAGGCTCAGTGTGTCGTGGCAGCAGACACAGAACTGAAGCAGGAAATATAAAATAAAACAATTTGGGAAACAAAATAAGTTACAAGAAAGTAGAACAAGGTTTCAAGGCACAGGTTTTGCTCTTTTCCTGGTTTTAAAATCATGTGTTTCTCTTTTTAATGTTAATAATAATAGTGATGATGGTCATAAAAATAGCTGCAGGACTTTCACATACATTCACGTCATAAACATGGTAATCATTAATGCAAATGTTACTGATTAATGATCAAGGTTCAGTGTTAGACTTCTGGTAAGTTTAATTCTTCTAAGATAAAAATGTCAAACATTAAATAAACTGTAGTGGACACTGAATCAACTTCAGTCACATTCAGAAGAAAATCTAAGATAAAGCATGACCGGAGATGATGGACATGACCGTCCAATAAGAGTGAGAGACTAATGTTAATTTTGTAATTAAAATGAAACACCAGGAAACTCTTTTTCTCCTGGACTCTCACCTCCAGGTCTTCATGTATGTGTAAGTTGAAAGATAACAGGAAGTCAGTGACCATCACCCAGAGAAAACTACACTTGAACACTTTTAACACTTAAATCAAAACTGCATTTCTAACATGAAATGTTGAAATACATTATTAAATGTTAAAGAATTAAATGTTCATCTTATGCACTTTGCCACCATTGAATGGTAGTTAATGCATCTAATATAAATCTGCTGTTGTTCTTCCAAGCTCTAGATTAGGCCTCTGATCTTCCTGAAACAGGTAAGACCCGCTGTGTGTGTCTGCTTTTCACTGGTTTTGTAGGACAGTCCACATCATCGAGATTCAGAATCCTGTGGTATACAAGTATTAATGTGACATATGGACAAGGACTGTGTAAACCATACTGAATATTTCACATGTGACCTTTTTATGAAACAGGTTTCTCTCTGCAGCTGGAAACGGTCTGGACCGACTGACTGCACAATGGCCAGACTGCTCACAGGTAAAAACACGACTGACTGCACGATGGCCAGACTGCTCACAGGTAAAAACACCTGTCAATCACCGGTCATGGTTGGTCAGTGATGAAATCACACACACACACACATTTATATACGGTATATACACACATATCTGTATCGAACCGTTTGATACAGTGGTCTAGGTTTGGTACATACTATGAATCGAACAATTCATTTTTATATACTGCATTTTAGAGAAGCATTTATTATATTATTATTACAAAGTTCTCTTTTTGTTTTGCATTTGTTTTTAATTATACACACCAGAAAACGAGGCCGCTTTAGCTGCAAAACTTTACTTTTGAGTTTAAAAAATGTTAGAAATTTCACTAAACAGTAAGTAAAGAGACACTTATCGAACTGGATCAAACTGCGAATTTTGTGTATTGTTGCACCTCAATATATATAAATATATGTATATCTGTACATATGTATAAATATATATATTATCAGGCTGCAGCTACTGACAATTAAGACAAATGTCAAATACATTTAAAATGTATGGGTACATTTTTTAAAATTATTTTTGTTTGTAATTAACCTTTTTTCTTGGTTTTTCAGCCTTGGGTATTCTGTTCACACTGCACTTGGGTGAGTACTCACTTTGTACTGCATGATTTCTGATGATACTGTACTCCAGAAGGAAGAATAGACTATATGTAAAAACCAGACCTAATCATGTGACTGTGTCAAAGGTGTGTCTGAACGTGACCCAGGTTGATGTGTCCATAAAACTGTCCTGATGAGGGCGCTGTCTCGGTGAAACATATCTAATGTTTAATTTTAGCCTAATTATAGCCTAATTTTAATGCTCCCCTCAGTGGAGTGACGATGTCCATTTCTTATTAACCGTCTGTGGAACAAACAGATCGAGAGTGAAAGTGTCTCCTCGTCTCCTCCTTTCTCAGCTTCCTCCACCAAGTTGGTGTGTCACATGACAAACTGGGCTCAGTACAGACAGAGCTCTGCCCAATTCAAGCCGGAAAACATCGACCCGTTCCTCTTCACCCACATCATCTACGCCCTGGCCTCCATCGACAACTTCAACCAGATACGTCCCATCGAGTGGAACGATGAGTAGATGTATGAGAAAGTCAACAGTCTGAAGAGAGTGTGAGTTCAAAAACACACATGACTTTTACTGCATGACACAGTAGTAGGAGAAGTAGTAGTAGTATTAGCTCTGGGCTCAGAGAACTGGGGCTTTTCCCTATCGCTTAAAGCTGATGATGTTTACGTGGATGTGAGCACCACCTGATCTGGGTGGTGTAACAGGCTATCACACACGTCCAGACGTGGAGCCTGGAGCCTGGTCATTTAAAACCAGGTGTACTGTGATGGACAGCAGATACTTCTAAGAACTGTTAATGCTTCAACCTGGAGGTGTGGCCTTTATTAGTCCCACACTTGGGAAATTCCTGCGTCCACAGCAGGTCTGCTGCGACAGGCATGTTAATCATGTAACAGTATTGTGTGTTTACTATGCTGACAGTTCTCCTACAGTTAAATCCTTTATCGCAATATATATGTCGTGTTGTTGCCTCTGTATCGTGATACGTATGGTATCGCCAGGTTCTTGCCAATTCACAACCTTAATAAATGGTCTCTGTTTCATTGTTCAGCAACCCAGAACTGAGGACTCTGTTGTCAGTGGGGGGGACAGTGAATGGACTGAGTCCGTGAGTTCATATTTACCACATACAATACATGCATGTATTTTATATCAATGCTATTGAGTACTTTTTACTAAATTTTGCAAAGAAAAAGTTTAAATGTGTGATGTTCCTGCACAGTAAAAAACGTTGTTCTAATCACCATCCCCCCCACCCCTGGCTTTGACCTTCACCTTGTCTCTGCCCTGGTACAGCCCTCTGTCCCTGACTACGATCCTTGCCTTTTGTCTTCTGGTCTCTCGTCAACCTGTGCTAACTGAAGTGAGCCTGTTAGCTTCAATAAAAGATGTTGAACCCAGACCTGGTTGTGCTGCTGTTGGGTCCTCTCTGTAACTGTGACAGGCAGTGTTTAAGGTAAAAAAAAGACCTTTTATTATGCAGTTAACTTAATTTAACCTTATCTGTAACCTGACAGAAACATACCAGGACCTTTTTCACCCTGTTTCAGCACCTTTGTTTCTGCAGCGTTCACTGATTTACTGACTGTGATTGGACGACACACTGGATGATGATATAATAAAACAACACACGGACACACACACACACACAGCTCCAGGTTAACTATAGTAAACAACAGCATCACACACCACATGAGTACAGTACATCTGCGTTATGTAACTGATTAATTAATGACTAATGATTTGTGACTCTGTTATCAGACATGATAGAATCTAATAAACAGTGATTGCATTTGTTAAACAAAGCTCCTCTGTTGCCTACGTTGACTCTACAGCACAGTTCTTCAACAGAGGGTTGTCTGGGGACGAGGATCTGAGGTTGAGTTCAAGTTGGATTTCTTTGAAAAAGAACCTTGGACCTCAGATCTCTGGGTAGAAGAACTTTAGAGAGACTGTTTTTCATCAGTGAGTAAATGGAACAGTCAAGTCAGTGCATTTTATAGATTTGTTCACATCCATTACTTTTTTACTAGAAGTTTATCTTCCTGGTCAGAACCACAAAACAGTTGATTGATATTGTTATCACTATTATTAACAGCTGTAACACAATAAAATTCACATAGTGGGTGTGATGCGATTTTATCTTTTAACAGCAGCACCTGAATCCTATCATATTATTGGTCCAGAGTCCAGGGTTCAAGTGTCACTTTATCGCTAAACCCCACTGAACACTTGTACTGTATTAATAAGAACACTGTTCCTTGGCTAATGGACGACGTTAGCCAAATGCATTTGTGAAGAACACCACCTATAGGCCAGAATGGGGGAACTACATGCACAATACTGAAATAAATACCATTAGTTTGAGTTTTTTTTTTTAACTATATAAGAAAACAGGAACTTGGAAATTTCAGATTTTCCTTTTCGCATCATGGTCTGGGGTGGTTTCCCTCGTCATCAATCCCAGCGTCGTTTAGTAATGATTTTCTTTTCTTGGATTTTTTTTTCCATCTGGTGGGATAGCTGTAACGGTTCACGGACAGTAAGACGACACTGCCACATTTTTTGTGGCCCAAAATCTGATGAGGTGGTTCTGTTGTCAGGGAGGTATATGTTCATAACAACAACAGTTACTAATAATAAAGTCATTAATGGCCATAGAGATGTCATTGATGTCCTTGGCCTGTTCAAGAAAGAGAAATTAGGCCATGTTTCAGCAGAAGTGGTGATAATGGTACTTGCTGATAAGTGGAGTGTGTTGGAAACAAAGAGGGTTCTGTCCTGTAGACGCCACGTCACAGTGAAAATGACAGAAACTCAGCAGAAATACAGTAGAGGTGGTCGACACACCACAGGGGGTCACTGCAGCTGGTCATCACCTGCTATACCAGCTTCGCTCGGCTGAATGTTGGAAATATTGTTACACCGTTGCTATGGTCAAAACATTTGGCATCTTATCGCTAATATATCAGTCAGTTGACGTCTGGTTTCACTTATCTTATCTTGTCCCTCTTTTCTCAACTGCAGGCCAGTTGAGGTGTTACCCCCCCCATCCCACCCCACCTTCTCCGTGGGGGATGTATATAAGAAGGTGGAATATGCTTCCACTTCGGTGTCTCCTCAGAGTCTAAGGTGAGTGTGTTCATCTTCTGAGACCTCTGCTGTAATCATGGCTCACTCTGCTCTGTAAATTAATTACTTAATCTTTAAAGGCACAACTTTAGGTTTTAGTATAAACTTGTTGTTCAGCATCTGTTTTTCCTGCAAACATTTTTCTTGATGGAGTTCTGACCGCAGTAAGACCTGAGCAGCTTAATAACCCTAACTCTAGACTTCATATGTTGGAGAATTGCACTTTGAGAAATAGCATTAAAAAATCTAATCACAACCTTTTTTTTATCTGTATAACAGAATTGAGGTACCAACGATCCAAAGAAGATGACCAGACTAACAGTTCTAGCAGGTAAATTCTACTTCAACTAACAATGATGTAATCACATTAGTGTTTATGTTCAGTAAAATTCTACATTGGTTTCAGTATAAGTTTGCATTATTGTCCATACAGTCCAAAAAAACCCCTCACCTTTGGTCTGTGTGTTTTTTCAGGCTTGTGCCTGGTGATGTGCCACCTGGGTAAGTGACACCAAAAAAAGACAAAATCGGTTATAATAGAGCGGTGATAAACAGTGTGCAGTGCTGACACTTTGTTTTGACTGGTTTCCAGCAACTGCCTCTCAGATGGTGTGCTACTTCACCAACTGGTCCCAGTACAGACCTGGGACTGGGAAATACATGCCCCAGAATGTAGACCCCTTCCTCTGCACACATCTGATCTATGCTTTCTCCATCATCAACAACAACAACCAGCTGGTCACCTACGAGTGGAACGATGAGACCCTGTACAAGACCTTCAACGGCCTGAAGAGCAAGTAAGAACCAACTGGTCCAAGTCCACAATCTCAGTGTTTTACCAACCTTGTGGATGGGAACAGATTCAAATGAATATTCTCCATGCCTGTGCAGGAATCCTGGTCTGAAGACACTGCTGGCAGTTGGTGGATGGAACTTTGGTTCATCAAGGTCAGAATCCTTATTTGGTGAATTTTCTTCTTTTTCAAAAGCTTTGAATTAAACATTCAACATGTTCTGCAAACTATAACTCCCCAGGTTTTCCATCATGGTCTCCACCCCCGCCAACCGTCAGACTTTCATCCAGTCCTCCATCAAATTTCTGAGGACTCATGGCTTTGATGGTCTGGATCTGGACTGGGAGTACCCTGGATCTCGAGGAAGTCCCCCAGAAGACAAGAGGAGATTCAGTCTGCTCTGCAAGGTGGGTTGAACCCTTTCAGTGGGACAGACCTACAGAAAAAGAAACTCTAACCCTAACCCCCCCGTCCCCGTGCAGGAACTGGTTGAAGCCTATGCAGCAGAGGCCAAAGCCACCGGCAAACCTCAGCTGATGCTGACTGCTGCAGTGTCTGCTGGGAAGGGAACCATCGATGCTGGATATGAGATTGCTGAGATTGCTAAGTACTGTTTTTTTTTTGGATTCTCATGTATAAACTTGATGTGTTAGAGACAGTATATTCATCAGTACTCTTTATTAAACTCAAGGCACCTGGATTTCATCAATGTGATGACCTATGACTTCCATGGAGCTTGGGAGCGAGCCACTGGACACAACAGTCCTCTGTACCGCGGCTCACATGACAGCGGCGACCTCATCTATTTCAACACAGTAAGAGACTCTGCCCCAATATGGACTCATTCACACATGATGTTGAACTTTCAACAGATTCACAGAAATGACTGCAACTACAACTGTTATGTAGAATAATAGAACAAACAAGTCTGCTTTTTGTATTTTATTTTAGGACTTTGCCATGAAGTACTGGAGAGACAATGGTACTCCATCTGAAAAGCTGAGGTTGGGATTCGCCACCTATGGTCGTACCTTCCGTCTGTCATCATCAAACACTGGTGTTGGAGCTTCAGCTAGTGGCGCTGCATCAGCTGGTCCGTACACACGTGAAGCTGGATTCTGGGCTTACTATGAGGTATAACCTGAACCATGTTGTGAAGAAGGGCTACAAACTAGTGTAGAAGTCAGTGGTGACATCATGTCGTGGTTCTGCAGATCTGCAGCTTCCTGAAGGGCACCACTGTTCAGTGGATCGATGACCAGAAGGTTCCATATGCCAGCAAGAACAGCGAGTGGGTTGGGTTCGACACCAAGGAGAGCTTTGAGATCAAGGTACATAAATTATTCTAAACAATCCATGGACACAAGGTCCGAGTGAACGGTGGGACGTTCAGTCTGGCTGACCAAAACTGCACCACCTACTGGCTGTAGTAGTAGTATCTCAGTAGGTGGAGCAGTTGTCCAACAGCCAGACTCAGTAGTTTATATGCCGGCCCTGGATGGCAGAGCTGGGGTATAAAGTACATTGAGTCGTCATCAGAACTGTCTAAGTACAGACTGTGCCTCTGCTGAACATCCCAGGTCCAGTACATGAGGGACATGGGCTTTGGCGGTGCAATGGTGTGGGCACTGGATCTGGATGACTTCAATGGAGAGTTCTGTGGACAAGGAAGCCATCCTCTCCTGGCCCATCTGCGCAAGCTCCTTGACATTGGTATTGACCGTTTGATCTTTGATCTATTTATTCAAACTAGAAAAACTTAATTAAATTTCAGGAACGCTGAAACATTGTGTAGAGCTTTTCTGATATTTCTGTTTCTCTTACCCTCTAACAGAAGCACCTCCTCCAGGTCCTGTGACCACAACCAAAAAGCCTTCTGTCACCACCACAACAACCACCAAACCTGATGGTACCACCACCACCAAGAAACCCTCAACTCCTGCTCCTGGAGCCGGCTTCTGCAGTGACAAGGGTGACGGCATTTATCCCAACCCTGAAGATAAAACAACCTTCTACCAATGTGCAGGAGGCAAGACCTATCTGAAGAGCTGTGGAAGCGGAACCATCTTTAACGACAGCTGCAAGTGCTGTGTGTGGCCTTAAGGTGGAGCTGCTGTCACTCTGTCAGATCTCAGGACATCTTTTCTATATGAGTAAATGAAAAAAATATAAATAAAAAATATGGCAATTTAAAAATGTGTTTACTGGCTCCACTTCTTACTATTCTGCCAGCTGTGTGTGTATCTGCATATCAACACTATGAAGGAGTGTGTTACCAGCACACACTGAATATAATTATCTGGTTTAGTTTGGTCATTGTCCCAACAAACTAACTCTGTAGGTGGCAGTAATGGGACTCACAAGTTTCAGTTCTGCTGCTAAAGTCCAATGAAGTAGAGAGGCTGAGGCTGTTAGCAAGGTTAGCTTGCCTTAGCCTTGGTGAAGACTGCTTTGTGTATGTGTTAAAACACACCATGCTAACACATGACATGCTAGCATAGGGCTAACACATCACTGATTCACTCTGTGCTACCACATTGCTGAAACACAGTATACACGCTACAAGCTAATGATGATTAACACACTAAATACACCTGCAAGCTAGCCAACCTGCAGGGTAAGATAAATGATACAGCATGAGAAAGAAAATCTAGGAAAAATGGGTTTAAAAAAAGGTAGGTGAATAAAGTCGGATAAATCTAACCTGTGTTTCCTCTTTGGTGAAATATTTTTGCTTGTTCGTTGTAAAGAAAACAAAAAAGAGTTTTTCATTTTCTTAGCATGTGAGGCTAATGTGAGGCTAAAAAAATTAGACCTTTTTTGTGATAGAGAATAACAACAGGTTTGAGCAGCGGAAAACCCATATAGTCAAAGTCACTGTTCAACAGAGGTCAGGTGAAGAGGAAGCTGTTCCTACAGCAGTGAAGGTGGACGACTGATGTCATAATAGTCGTTTAGTTTTTGTTTCTTTCTTTACAGGTTCCTTTTAACTGTCTTGTGTCTAAAAAAAGGAACAACTTCCATCATCAAAAGTCCACGTTGTCATTGTCCCTCGGACTGTGCCAAACACAACACCTCCCTCTTGGAGCCCGTCCTGTCGGCTCCTACTCACATTTTGCCTTTAGCCTGGTAACAAAAACATCCAATGTCTGATTCTTCCATCTTTGAACATTTATGGTGACTGATATCAACAGATACAGAGAAGATACAGATATGGAGGAGAAGACTGATGCTTGAATTTCATTTGTGGTGTTAGTGACAGCGTGGAAGTGGGTTACACTCGAACCCCATCCTTCCTGGTTAGTCCACATGTCTAAATTGCATTCTCACTGATCAGCTCTCACCCTTAGGCTGTTCAGTGGCACCACTAACCTCCCTCCACGTCTCTGTGAGGTGCTTCAGGATGTCATTTTAGCATTTGAATGGTACTGTGTGTTCTGAGCGTAGAAACCTGAGATACAGGCCTGGAGTGATCGTCACGGACATGTTCCGCACAGAGGAACCACCACAGGAGAGAACTCCACTATTGGAGAGTCCTCACAGCTGAGATGAACGCTGCAGTAACGTCCGTCCTGGGTAAGATTCTTTACATGTTCTTCATCATTTCTGTGTCTTCAGTAGCAGTTCTCAGTAACCTGTCAATTGTTCTCCTGACAGTGGTGTTGCAGCTCCTTTTTCACTTTGGTGAGTCATTTAATTTTTTTTCTTTTCGACAGTGGCAGTGATAATTCATGTGTTTATTACTTGTCAATGATGCAGCAACCACAACCAAACTGGTGTGCTACTACACCCACCAGTCCAGGTACAGACCAGGGGTGGGCAGGTTCCTGCCTGAGAACGTGGATCCTCATCTGTGTACTCACCTAGTCTACACCTACGCCATCCTCAGCACTGGGAATGGGATTTCTCAGTCAGAGTGGAGCGAGAGCTCCTACAGTACATTCAACCAGCTGAAGGACAGGTGCTGGAGGAAGCGGTGTCGGATAAAGGGCTCCACTGGGTTTTCCCAACACTAACAGTCAGATGTTTTTTTGTCTATCTGCTCACAGCAACCACAACCTGAAGACCCTGCTGTCAGTCAGAGAGGGGACCGACCTCTCACAGTCAGTTAGCTCCATGTTGTGGACCACTTCATCTGATGACCACGGATGAAGTGGTCACTGTCTTATGTTGTTATTATTTTAAAATTAAACTCACATTAGCTGTGAAGAAGAAATAAAGAAGAACTGCCATTAACTCCTAAGTTAAATTTACACTGAGGATGGATGGATGGATGGATGGATGATGGATGGA